TTTTTTTTTCCATGTCAATCAATTTTTGAAATATTGCATACCTATTACGACCCGCTCTGTATCAAATGTATATATTTTTTAATTAAAAGTTTACGAAGCGCATCAGTGAAAAGGGTCAGGCTTAGACGATCGCATTCCCTGTCGAAAACAAACGGTGAAAACCATAGCAGTCAGTTCGAATTCTAAACGAACGTACGTCACGATACTTTTGATTGCTTGTGACGTAAACGTCAAAAAAAGCAGTTGCCACGGCATCCAACTCGCAGTTAGAAATTTAGTCTCTCCGCGATCCACTTGTCAACGATATATACGATACGTATGACGAGGAAACTGCTCGTTGCGTTCGTATATTCGAAGTTTCTCCCCTGTTTTGACAGAGCTAACGAAGTGGCGGCTTGTAACGACGATTGAATATGCTATACGTATGTATCTGATAACTGAAACGTGAAACGATTCTTTCCAATTTGGGTGAAAAACATAAGCCGCGTAACATCGTTCTTTTCGGAATTTCTTTCATACGAAATGTCTCGTACGAGGGATCATTGATTAATTAAAGGGAAAAAAAATGTTACATTCGATGTCTCTATCTATCCCCTCCAGTGTTTTCTGTTTAGTATTATAATTTTCAGTGGAAACACAGTTGTTGAAACGCAACAACGCGAATACGCGAAGTGATGTTAATTAAATTGATAGTAACAGGTCAAAGTGATATGGATAAATATTTGAAAGACAATGATACTTGCAATTCAATTTATAAACAATAGATTGTGATTGTCAGTGCGTATCAGTGAATTTTCATTCTCGCGGAATGGATCTAATTATGAATATAACAAAATGAAAATACTCGCTAATTAATCATGGCAAATGGCAGAGAGATTTTGCGAACGCGTATTTAAAATGGAAACAATTTTATCATCCCCGCGAATTCGACTATAAACTTACATCGCGTTTATTTAAAACGCATAAATTCTGTAATACGATTTAAAAAAAACATTGCTGGATCATGATATTTATTTCGCGTCTGATGAAATATCCTCAATACATGTAATTCCAAAAATAATATTCCATAGGATTCGCACCGTTATCGAAATATAACACAGAAGATGAATCGTGAACGGATATTGTTAGGTTTCGCCAAATTGAATTTGTATTAAGCGTTACCCCCGTAATATCACATTTTACGCTCGAAATTTAAACAGAAAATCTTCATTTCGTTTGTTTCGTCCATTAACGTGAAATGAAAAGCAGCTTCG